CCGTACCGGTATATCCTTCTTTTGCATTCCGAACCGGCTCTTGTACTAGGTTGTCGATCTTGCCACCCTCGCGACATTGCATTCCTTACCCGGTATCGTCACACATAACTCCCGTTAAAGCCATTTCATACGCTGACCCTAACTCCTTTCTACCATCCGAGTTACCACAACTACTCCCCAACATTGTGTATCGATTCCATGCACCAGTTGCATCCACACCTCTTCGCTAATGTAAAGGGGTGATAGCTTTTCTGATTCCCGAATGTAATTTCACTTGTGACGAATCATCCACATTTTCAGGCGGCATGCAGCATCGACTGGGATTGAGCTAATGTTTGGAGCAAGATTTTGTCAGTATGTAGTAAGATCTCCATTCTGCGGTCTAATAGAAGTTGGAGGGAGCTTGCTGGTATTCTCGGAGTTGGGGTGTTTCCACGTTTCCGAAGCATATGGTGCTTGTCTACATTGAACTCTTTATGTTTGATTAATACTTGCTTGGCATCCTTCACTGTTGCTTCCGCCTTTTCGTTCGATTGGCTGTAATAAAGTCTTAAAGCATGATGATCAAATCTTCACTTCTTGAGGAAAGCTCGCAATTCCTTCGCAGTAAACTGCGGGCCCTCGTCCGTTTTCACTCTCTTAGGGATTCTATGACCAGCAAAATGAAGTCAGCTTCCTTAGTACAGCATGAGCCCTGGCCGTAGGCTGGGAGTGGAACCCAAAGTAATCACTGAAATAATCGACCGTGGTCAGGTAATACTTGGCGTCATACGCGAAATAACCACCGCCAGTTTCTGTCATGGCTTTGTTGGAAGTTCTCGAAGTTCTATTGGCACGTTCGTTGGACAAACATTAGGTGTGTAGCAGGCTGAACAGTTCGGTACATAGTCCGGAATGTGGCTGGCAACGTCAGACCGGAAATGAACTCTCTGGATGTTGCACTACAATTGTTCATCCACGTTTGCGCACCCTGGCTCATTTCCAACATTTCGCGCTGCATTATCTTTGGGACCAGCACCAAGTTTCTACGAATATCAAACGTCATTCTACGTCCAATTCTTCGCAAAAAGGAAGGAACTGTGTCAGTTTTACCGACAGGCACCCCTTATCCTTTGCCCAGCCCTCATTGATTGTCAATCTATTTACGTTTATATACTACATCCCCATCTTTGGAACACCGGTTATTGGAAGTATTCTTCGGTAAAGACATGCTGCTGTGTCACGTGGACAATGTCTACGTCCGCTTGCACTCCACCTGCATCTGAACATGTAGTTTAATTCAGCCATCACACGCCCAGGAAAACATTATACGCTTTCCATCCTTTCGGGAATCGTCAGCAGTGCGCATTCCAGCGGACCCTTGTAGGGTTCGAACCGGCAACTGGACTGTGGGAAGTCCGGGGTTGAGACCCCTGATCTAGAGGGACGACTTGTCTTTTGTGACCTCTTCGCTTTGGGAAGTGGCTACCCTGTCCTCTGCAAGGCAGTAACTTGTAAGTCAGTGGAGAGTGAAGCGGCGCTATATCACATCTAGTAAGTTATACAAGGTGGTCGTTGTCGTCTCCCGTAGCTCAGTGGTCTAAAACTTGGACTTTAACAGTCCAGTTGCCGCTTCATTCCCTACTAGAGTCCGATGGAATATGTACTAGTGACGATTCCCGAAAGGATGAAACGCGCGTACAGTACATTTCCGGGTGTGTGTTGGCTATCTAAGTGAGTCTACATGTGACGAATTGCTACCTATATCATTCAACTCCCTACTACTTCTCTGTAAACAGCACCAAGACCAAACCCCTTATAACGCCATAAGTTAATTGGCGGCTTAAATTTGGTAAGCTCGTCGCTTGGTGAGGGGACTACCCTATCCTCTGCAGGGCAGTAACTTGCAAGTCAGTAAAGAGTGAAGCGGTGCTATATCACATCTAGTAACTTATTCACGATGGTCGTTGCCGTCCCCCGTAGCCCTATTGTGCCAACCACGGACTGGCAACAGTCGAGTTGCGGGTTTGAGCCCTACCAGAGTCCGATGGAATGCGCACTGCTGCTGATTCCCGAAAGGATGAAACGCGCGTACAGTGCATTGCTGGGCGTGTTGGCAGGCTGAGTGAGTATAAGTGTGACGAAGTTCTACCTATGCCATTCACCACCCTCTACTACTTCCCTAAATATTTGGATATTTTGATTAGCCGAAGGCAGTGACACATAGTTTGGTGGTCCTTCCAGCACAAACGTGCGTAATACGCTCCTGATTTCTTGCTAGATGTATAAACGGCATGCAACAATATTTGAACGCTGGATTGGCTGTCAATATAATCACATTGCCAGTGCGGGTGTGTGCACCGCTGGTTAATTTTTCTGGTCTAACTTCAGAAGATTTCAGCTTCGGTGGTTGCGACAGGAAGAGTAAAACTGGCGATAGCCGTTGTGTGCCACTACGCTTGTAACTTGTCTTAGCATTGTTAAATGGTTGTTCTATTTGTCTTCCAAATAACGCCACGAATATTCCTTGGATTCTCCAAAATAGTGATGGCGGACTTGCAAGTGTCGGCACAGAAAAAAGCATTAATAAGAAATGGGGAAACTTGGTGATCTGAGATGGGTAGATCCCAATGTGTAGAACTTGTCAAGCTTCACCTAAGTATTTCTCACCAATTAAATTATAACCCGAGGAGTTTGTTGATGACCTCAAAAGGAAAAAGTGAAGATGCTCGAGGTTACTTGGAATACTGGTAGCTCGGGTGGCTTGTTCATTTGTTGTGGTGTTCGCTGAGCTGGGCAGCTTGATTGCAAACGTTTCACCGCCATTCGACGTGGCGTCGTCAGTGCAGTATTGCTAGCAGTCAAGTAACAGCATCTGTTAGAATGCAAACCCAATGATGGATACTGCCTGCCTCTACTTCGCTCCTTATATAGGCGTAGGAGGCTATGCAATTAGCCTCGTTATGACTCTTGATTCATTGTGTTCTGTGGTGATGCTGGAGTCATCACAATTGACTGCACAAAGGTTGTTGCGATGTGGTTGGAAATGTTGCTGTCGAATTGGTGCAATGGGCATGGGTGAGCAGTCGCTGCTTACATCAACCGTTCTATTCATTGTCTAGGTGTTGGATTACGTTCTTACAAATAGCGATTGTTAATCTTCTTGAGCACCATTTGACTCAGTGGTTGATATGTTGGATCGATGATGATTTGCAGATTGCTTGGTTTCGTGGTTGAGAACCAGGCTTCCAGATAGTTCCTCATTTTTCTAGTTTCTACTTGGAGCAGGATCTCAACTTTGTTCCACTCGAAGTTTTGTACCTCCACATCCACGTGTGCTGAAAGCAGTGAAGTTAGTGTTTGATGTTTCTTGCACGCACTTTTGTGTTTTTCTTGTTGACAGTTTTCTCCCTGTTTGTCTCACATAGCGACTCTCACAATTTCTGCACTATTTTCTATATACGACACTGTCGTTTTTTGTTTCTCATTCTCCTTTTGGTCTTGACAATGATTTCCTAAGGGTGGCTGTTGGCTTGAGATACAATGGTTACTGGTTATTGATAGGAAGCAGCAAGAATAGATAACTGTGCAGCTGCATCTAATATTACTCAGGTACAAGGACCCGTTATGTTATAGTGCGCTCGATATATTTTATATGGGCAACGTGTTTGTCTAAGGATTAATTGAATTTCTACACCTACTTTGCCTCAACTACCTGCTGCGGCAAGTGGTTCCATTCAATAGTGGCTACCAGTACCAATCATTGGGTTTGCCTTCTACCAGGTCTTGCTACCTGTCTGCTCTCAATACCGTACTGATAATGTCAGCTTGAATGGTAAGGAAACGTTTAGAATCAACTCGCTCAGCTTCGTAAACACCACAATAGCTAAATAAGTGAAGAAGCGTTGCAATAAAACAAGGTACAAAGCTGAGACCACTGTTGAAGCAGACGGGATGCGCCTCATCTTTGCTCGCTAAGTGCAGTGTTTATAGAACTCAGTGGCCACAGAAGTGGGCTTATTTTCCTTCTGTGTCTCCCAAAGGATAGAGCTAAACTGTCTTTATATTTGTCGAGTTCAATTCGGTTCAGCTTATTCCATCTCATACTCGATCTTCAGCGATCTGACGGTTGTCTCGGCTCATTGACAACGCACAAAGATGTGATGTGCGCGTGAGACGCATTTTAATCATAAAATGTTTTACTCGATATTACATATGTGAGTGACCAACAAAACCATAAGCCTATTGGTGGTGTAGCATGCATGTACTATTTACCCTTTGATCAAAGCAAACATGAAGGCTTAGCCACTTGTCACTCGTGGTTGAATGAAAACTTTCCGAACAACTTTGTCATCAACTCTAACTCCGTACATACAGCGTTCGCCATGGAACCAAGGTGAAAAGTGGTTGTACTGCTGGCTGTAGCCGGAAGATGAGTGCCGTATTAACGCCAGTGAGCTCATCTAACACAAACAAGATCTCAGCAGGGTCTGGTATAACATAGACCTAGATGATATTTTTAATAGTTAAGCGATCAGTCTACATGAATAAGCGTTACCAGGTGTATTCGCATTGTCGTCTAAGACCCACTGTTAATCTTTACGAACAGCTGAGACTCTATCCAAAGCTAGTCCTTGCAAGCCCCACAACAATGAACGTATTTCATCTGCTTTCTTTAGTAACCAAGTTCATCCACACATCCAACTATCAAACGACAGATAAGCCCATCATCCACCACTTGTTACCGACCTGCTACATAATAGATGAAGCAACTCGCGCTTTTCTCCTCTGACCTAAAACCCATCGTATGTCTCCGGTTACTCAGAAGGATTCTATATACAGCTCAGTCAGGCGGGGACAAGACCTAGTACTGATAGCTTGTAGTGTACTACTTGGTACATGAGATAAATCTTTTCAGTACTTTGAGGATATTTTGTTGAGGAATAACCTGCTAGTTTGTCAATGACATTTTACCAGCTGAAGGTCTACGGAAAATTCATTTTCGTCTTCGCTTACTTTAGGTTGCCGAGTCACTAATTAATCCGTTTGGTGAAGATGTTGACGATTTTGAAATGGAATACCTTATTGAGCGTAATCTTAACGTAAGTTAACTTTTTTTCATAAAACTGCTGTAACTCTTGTTTAATAGACTGTTACATATTGGTTTTAACTTAGAGGCCCCTTGTTCTGCGATTTTAGGTGTCTTATCTCATTGTGGATGGCATGCATCACGAACACCCCGACCTCGTAAAGGATGCGTTCTGGGGTACCACCGATACCCCCTTACCGGACGGGTCCAGAGGGACTGAGTATCCATTTGGTGATGAAACCACTGAACATCCCGGTGAAGGTGCTCGGTTCATCGGATCACTCGCAAATCTGGACATTGCTGAACGCCGGAGGAGTACTTTATGGCGCAGATCCAGTCTGGTCAGGCCGTTCTCTTCTTTTACCAATTTGAGGTAGGATCCACCAACCTGATTCACACTGCCCTCCCTTTGAGTACGTTATCCCGAGTATCATGTTGCTCATACTAACCTCAAGTTTTGCATGAAGTCATGCACACCTGAGTCCAAGTAAACCTTCTAGTTTTCCTCGGTGAACTGAAGTCAAAACTAACAGCTAATGTAGCCGAGCACGTTTTAGTTCGACGACAGCGAATGCGGCTCCACGTAGGATAGGGGTCGAACTGGAACTAGACTACCAAAATAGATTTTGACGCATCTTCGCCACTGCTATGGTATTCAACGGTGACACGTAAGACCATAACATGAGGAGCAAATATCAGAAACAAATGAGCTAAGAAACCAATCCACAGCATAAAGGGTTTTTCGACTGATGCTGTTCAAAGATTTCATACTTCTAAACCGGAGCTAAAACACGATTGTGTGCTCATCATCGCTTGCATTTTTACCGGATAACACTTTGGGGGTAAACTGTAACCGCTACTCACGGATAAATGTGGTATTCATGAAGCACACAACGCGTTTGGAAATCAATTGTCTAACCAGTGCTGTGGTTTGAGGTAGATACATTAAGGCGATTTCCTATCGCGGGTACCCTTGGTCGCCTCTGACACCATGGAAGCAATATAACGTACATGCAAAGTACCAAGTCAAGCAACTTGGTGTAGACGATCAGTGTCAAGTTCTTTCGGTTACAAAGCAATAGTTAGCCGAACTCCAGGGCTTTGCTTATAACCTTCAACACTGGAAATCCGGTTATTGGTATAAGTGAGTAGCACTTCCCCTCACACAGCATCAGACATTTCGACTTGCTACGTCCTCAAAAATCAGATATATATATATATATATATGTATCTAGAGTTTCTTGATTGTGTCGTATGGTGTTATCAATCCGCAACCCTGCTCCAACCTTAAAGTTGCACACTGATCTCACATGTGTATGTGTGTTCTCCTGGGGACATTTTAAACTCTAATGAATCTGCATTATGTCAGGAGACAAAGCAGCAAGAGCCACGATGTTTGAATCCACAAAAAGTAACCGACCAAACGTTGCCGCTAATCATCGTATTTCAGTGCATAAGTATTACTGCATGACAGATCAATTAGAGTTATATGACTTTCATGCTTCTCTGTTGCATTGTTTTTAGAAAAATGTCCAAATTCTGAAATCATGATGCAATCGAGCATCCGTTGCAAAGAAAAACAACTATTTGCTGTCTTCGCCCTGCCTTCCTTCGTGACCTAACCGCGCACGTGACCATCAATGACAACCTATATTTCATCATTTATTTATGTGCGCATTGCTGTATTTCGCTAACTCACTCAGGAGTAATCGTCGTTCCTAACCCTCTTGCCGATTGTAGTGGTTAGCTGAGTTGTGACTAAGGTTTTACGGATAGCATGAAGACTTATCAATGCCTTTTATATCAGCTTTGTAATGTTTTTGCATCACACAAATCACTTGCATAAGATCCATCGTGTCTGTTCCCAACTCCCTCTATCTTCGTAAACTAACGCGCATCTAACAGAATAAATTGCTTCCGTTATCATGATTCATTCATCAGAGCAACGGTTGCGAATGATCATTAAGAAGAATTTTCAGTCTTCTCTTAGTGTGTCTTCTCTACATACTCGCCTATCTCTTAACTCAATGTGGACTTAGCGATACTTCTGTTGTCTGAGCAACGTTCCATGTTGGAGGAGTACATCGACTAACCGAAAGATTATAATGCATCAAGGCATTTTAACTTCTTTAACTGGAACCCTCAACAGTGCTTCCTCATTTTGGAGAGAAGCACTGCGTGCCGTGCACAGCACCAGTGCTCAACCTTGGCTTCTTGGTATTAGGATGAACAGTTGAGTGCCGTGATTAACAACTATCTTTGGAGTCCAACTCCTGAACAGTCTTCCTCACATTGGAGTGAATTTTGCTAGTTGGAGTACAGGGCTCAACGATTTTTTGTCTGACCTCGTTGGATCATGTTTTACAAAAACCATCACCCTGGAATATCCGCTGTAATTGAAGTATCCCCAAAAGTTCCTGGAGGTCATCGTAATGAGAATGTTTCATGTTCTGGTTCCCATGTTAGTCGTAAGATGTATGCTAGCTCTACCCATCGAGATATACACATCACATGTAGATTTGTTAAATTGAAAAAGGATAATTTGCTATATATGTTAGAGGCAGAAAGAGAGTTACAACTACATCATGTTGAGTATGATATAGGTTAGTGTTGGAGTTGGAACAATGGTCGTTGGTCAATAGTCAATGATATACTGTGGATAAAGATCCGAATCTTCACATGTCACGCAGGACGGTCGGTTAGGGGTGGGCAAAACGAAGGCAAAAAGGACAAATTGCGAACTTGCTGATTATAGCGTTCCCGTCCGTTTTATGTACTATCCAAGGTTCTCGCCTGTGTTTTCCGGGCAAAATGAAGGTGGGTTGGTTTGTTTTCGTTTATATGGTCTGTTTGGATTACGTGATATGGGGTAATGTGGCCAGTGCACTGTCGACAGGTGCTTTGAACACGGCTAACGTGGAGCTGAAATAACAGCTTCTGAGAGGGCATTCCACGTGTGACAAACATGCAGCGAGAAGAAGTTTCTTCGACAATCCAGCCGACCGTACTATTCTGCCAAGTTATGCTAACCTCTCAGTTAACTCTTGTGACTCAATTTCCATACGTGTTGGCAGGGTTGATTAGTGTTGTTTAATATTTGGTAAACCATGGTTAGGTCGCCATGCAAACGGCGATAACCTCCGCTGTAAATGCCAAGCACTCTGAGGAGCTGTTCGTATGACAAGCGGCGCAGCTTCTTGACATTTTTGGTCGCTCAACGTTGTGGAAGCTCCAACACCGTGAGATCGCGCTTTAGCCATGGGTGCCATGCTTGTATTTCATATTTAACATGTCGGCGTAGGTAACCAGGAAGTATTTATCGGAAAATCGGCGGTTCGAATTGCCCGAAAACTCCGTAAAAGCCATACGATTTGGATCCACTTCTTTGATGCCCTTTTGGACTGCGCTGAGCAAACGAGATCTTCCTTGATCAACACACCGAGATCCAATTCGAGAGAAAAATGTTGCAGATCCTGGCGCTTCAGCTTATATGTGTGAACCACTCGGTGTATAAATGGAGTACTCGACGTGTAACCCCATTGATGGTCAGGTCATTTGACCGACAGTCCATAAATCTTGTCAAGATCGATTTGAAGCTGGATACGGTCTTCTGGAGCGCTGCTCACTTGCTAAACCTTGATGTCATCAGTGTGGAGTAAACAGTTTGTAGCAAATGGATTCACCATATGGTTTTTGAAGACGAAGAATAGACAGGACATCACTACCGAACCATGTGGCACTCCGCATTCGACGTGAATTGGGTCTGACATGAATTCACCTGTTCTAACCTCCAGACGCCTGTGCGAGGGAAAATTGTGGGTCCACTCGAGGAGAGGGTCCCCAGTGCCACATTCTTAAATTTTGGCGAGTAGGATACGATGGTCCAACTGCTCGAATGCCTTAGCGAAATCAAGATAACCTGCAGCAACTCCTGCATAAGCGTCCACAGTTTCGGTCCAGATGTCTCGTGCAAACAATGGATTGGTTGTGCACGACCGATGCTGGCGGGGGCTGTTTTGCTGCTTCTCATCATAACCAAGTCAGTCCAGATAAGACGTGAGTGCGTCGGCAATGATAGCCTCCATAAGTTTTGAAAGAATTAGCACTTTCGTCCCTAGTTGACAATTTTCTGGGTCGGTACGACTACCTCCCTTGTAAATGGGAGTTATTATTCTGTGTTTCCACGTTGCTGGAACGGGCCGCTCGTCAACGCAGTGCTGGGACAGCTGCTCCAATGGTTCAGCCAAAATAGCAGCAGCCAAAACAAGTGTCTTTGGATGGATGTCGCCATTTCCTGGACAGGCGTACAGGATAGCAACGTTCTCATCATGAGGTCTGCCGAAAAATTTATATGACTGAGTCCTGGTGTAAGCACCATAGATTCCAAAAATTTAGGAGACCACGGAATACACTGAAACGTTGGTACATATTGTTGTTGCAGAACGTTCGACGCTTCTTTGGCAGTTCCAGTTTGACCATCCACTGTTTGAAGAGAGGGTACTCATCTTTTCAGCTTGCAGAGGCTGTTCACGTGCTTGTACAGAATCTTGGGATTTGCAGCTGATCGCTCGGCTAAAGCATGTTGATAACGTACTTTGTCCTGGCGCACTAATTGGGTACAATGGGTACGGTGGGCAACATACGCCTTTCCGGTACTCGGACTCGCATCGGTTTTGTGGGTATACCACGCCGCGTTGCGCATCACCATGCGTTTACGTGTCCTACGCTGTATAAACGACGTCATAATTTTTGTACTGATGGTCTCAGGTTCTGACGATCCACTCACCAGGATGTCAAACTTACTGACGGATTGTTCCCAGGCAACATCAAGTGCATCCTGGGTTAGGAAAGTCCAGTCGGTCGAGTCATCGAGTCGCATTAGAGTGTCATAGCTGGTTACGGTTCGCAAGGTTTGAATTCGGTCCTCGGGATAGCCAGCGCAGCAAGTGTACGCGCAATGCAACGTCGCATGATCACTGTGGTCTACAGTATCCATTATCAATCTCTTGATCATCAGCTCATCATTAGTGGATATCCAGTCCAATTTGGATGGCCAGTTATTTCCAATGAATATGGTGGGCGAAGTGACGTGGCCATAAAGCAAAAATTCTGAGACAAAATCATGCAGGTGTGCTTTGAATTTCGCTCCTGTTGTGGCTTAGCATTCCAGAGCATGTAAGCTGAAATCGCCGGCGACTAGCACGTGACTGTATTTTTTGATTATCACCAGCCTCAATGCAGTCAACAAATTGCAGTCCATTTCAAGTGTAGATGATGGTGATCGGTAAACAACAAGCACTCGAATGCTGCATAAATAGAGTCAGGCACCTGGTGCCTGACTCGAGGAACGGCGACTTTATTCAGCATGAACATCAACAACAGCGCATAGATACTTTATATTACTGATAGAATCCGAGTAGCTCGCAAACACTTCAGTGCCCCCCGATGTGAGCATTCCGCAAAGGCCGAATGGACGAGTCAATTAATGTCACATTGAACGCACGTGAGCTCATCGGTGTACGCTTTCGGCGGAGCAACCATGTAGCATACTTTAAAAATTCAAGCTGGCGCAACAGAAATTACACGGCGCTGAATTTTACAGTGCCGTTTTGTTGTTGTTTAGTCGTGATTGCTGCACACGGGTTCTGCCTCCTCTACATTGTGATGCTGCTGGTGAAACACGAGGTGGGTCTGAAAAGTAACGAGACTGGTAATATGAAAATTCATTGCAAATTTTGATAACCAACTGTACAACTTCACCTTCAGCACAATCCCCTCGGGTTTAATGCGGGTTTCCGTCATTCTTTACCACGCTCCGACGCACTGTTGGAAGCATTCTTCCACGATGCTCCTTAATACCAGCGTCGCTTAGAGCAATATCAATTGAGTATGAGGGCTGTTCTATTATAATAACTTTTTCTCGATCAGCAATCTCCGGGTGCCCGGAGCGTTATGAGCAGGAGTATAGTCATGAAGAAGCACCCACGATTTGCTGTCATAGTTATCGTCTGTTAAAGCGCACTCAGCGAAGCAAACGTTTCAATAATAAGGCAACAATAATTGGCATAAGTGCGACATAGTCAATAGTCAGGTTTGAAGTGCATGTGACCCAGGTGCAGTAAACGCAAGTTCATAATCTAATACGAAAAAGGAAATAACGCAGTGCCAAACATATCTGGCGACAATTAACATGTGCCCAACATTTACAGATCAGACAGTGAGGCTAGGGAGGGAATATTAACAGTCACTTCACAGTGGGAAATGAAGGGCCAGGTATCAGGGGGAGGAGTCTGCTGCTACAAAATGAACAAATTGGTGGTTTAACCGAGCGATCCATCTGTGCCTTTCACGGATGGACGACACACCGGTGTTAATTGCAATTTGGGAACGCACGATGTCATAGTTAGCCGCTTTCAATCAGTACTGGTTGCAGTCGAGCAAGGGGCTGGTTGAACACCTTGAAGACATGACGATCGCAATGTCACATAATGTGAATGACTGGTTTACCTGGCAACCAGCTGGTTGGTGTTAGCCTGCTGGCAAATGGGCCAACGCATTCGTTCGAGGAGGACTCGGTTTCCGACACCGGCGCAGTACGTTATACAGGACGACGAAATCAGCGAAAACGTGCTCATTATTAGTAATCTGTTCAGCTCAACTCGCGCGCAGTTCTGTTTGCACTGACTGCCGTTGTAGCACATCGAAGAGCACGTACGTGGTCAACCACGGAGATCGCCGAAGTGCTTTTGTATGACGGCAACGGAAGTCCCTAGATTGATCTGTACGATTGAAACTGGGACGCCTACCGAACGAGTTCACTGAAACACCATCTACGCTGTGGTTGATGTGATATCATCACCAGCTGTTGAACCTCCGTGTAGGAGCGACACTTTTGTAAAGGATGGAACAAACGTAATCGTATAGGA